GTTCTTTGCAACAGTGTGTTTGCAAATCACGCGGGCATGTCCGGCATCTGTGTCTCAGGAATCGTGGCCGGTGCGAAGGAGCTCTTCGTCAAATATGCGCCTGAGACCACTTCAGAAAGTAGATTCTAGTGCGTCAGAGAAGCCTGGATGAATGTAATTAGATTGATGCACAGAGCGCAGAGAGAAAGAGAGAGAGACCGAGAGATGGAGTGCTGGGACTGCCGAGGCAGCGTGCCAAAACGTGTGGTTCGAGATCGCCGCTCGCTTCAATATCTTGGTTGTTGAAGCACCAATCCAGGGAATCCATTCGCCTTTTGACTTGCCATGTATACATACCTTTAGAATTAGACAGCAAGCGCTCCTGCACGTCAGCTGCACATGAATTATAGCCATATTTGTGATAGCAGACCGCCTGTAGTCGCCTGTATCTGCGTACTCTGCTTCGGGAGCCAGGATAGAGTTCCTGAGAGTTTGATGTGCTTTAACATTAACTGCCTAAACTGTATAACTGTCGGCATTATAGAGGTCGCGCCCTGACCCTTCCGGACCTGCCCCGAGCTGGACTGAGGCCATGAGGATCGTGGCCGTTGCTTTGGTGGCTGCGCCTTGGCGGAAATTGGTCCGAAGACCCTCCAAGGCTTTCGCGCGAGGACCCCACAGTGAGACCTCGAGGATGTGTTCCTTCCCACCTCGGGCTCTTGTGTGCGAGGCCGTCCGGAGCGAGAATGGCCTGGAGTTCACCTTGGGCTACACCTTGTGCACCTCGCTCGCCATCGCCACCATCCGACCCTTTCGCCAGCACCAGGCGGCTTGTGTTTTGCAATCTGTGTCGCGTGTGCGCTGTAGCAGGGGCGTCTGCAAGAGGAGGGATCGGACGCTTGATGTTTTGCCTTCTGCTCGGGCATCTGGAGCTGATCTGCAGCCGGGTCATGTTTCTTTCAACAGGGCAACAGCGTAAATTTCGAAGGATTCTGGCGACTTCGGTTCCGCTCGCGGGCCAACATACATAGCCCCCCATGCTGGTGAAGAGTTAACACCTCGCTTCCCGTCCTGTGCAGGTCAACGACTTGCAGAGCTTCTGCTTCTTCTGCTCCCCGGCTTTCGTTTCATCAGCCAGAAAGGTACGAGAGAGAGCCGTTCAGCAGGATCAGCACCGAAGCGCCTGAGAGTAGACATAACTCGGTTGGGAGAGGCACCAGCTGTTGAAGCTTCGGCCGCGGACACGATTGTGCCCAGGTCTGGCCGTCGCGGCCTTCGCCTTCTCGACAGGCGAGGCCAAGGTCCGTCGTGTGTCCGCATGTTTCCGCAGTGGCAGAGGCCGAGTGCTGACGGCACGCGCTGCCCTGCTCGCGCCCTGCGCGATGGCGGCGGCGCAGGCGCTGAAGCCAGGCGCCGTTCGCGTGGGTCGAAGCGATTTACTCGAGACCTCTACAACGGAGCTGTTCTTCTTGGCAAGCTGTAGTTCAGCTTATTTGTCGTTGCTTGTCGGAGATCGTTGTTGTTTTTGTTGTGACCTGTCCAAGTGTGCTTGTATTGTGGTGTACTTTCGCAGCAGTCTGCAACCGCCACAAATATACTTTAAGCCGTAGCGGCGTAGCTGTGGATCATACGACCCCGATGACACCACCCAATGACATCGGAAGTATATACAAACGCGTTAAATTTCAACTCTGCAGCAGGCTCTTCAGAAGCCCTCATGCCGCAATGCACTTCCCTTGCAAATCCACTCGCCCGTGCAGACGGCCCGGAAGCGCTGGCGCTGCGCCTCTTCCAGGATTCCGACGTAAGTCCCGTCAAAAGAGGGGGCAAGGGCTTCCTCAAGCAGTGTGCTTAAACCACTGTAAACCCGTGCAACCGTGTAAACCATTGCATGAAGGCACACACACGCACAGAGAGAGAGAGAGAGAGAGAGAGAGATATATATATATAGAGACATACATACATACATACACACACACATACATACATACATACATACATACATACATACATACATACATGTCTATTATATATAACTACAACTATATCTATATCTATCTATATATTTATTTATTTACTTATTTATTTATGGTACATTATGCAGTCTTCCTAGCCCCTACAACCCCCACGAAAGCCGCTTGGGTTGCAAGATGGCCGCAGGACGCCGAGGCTCAGTGGCCTTCGCTGCAGCAGGGCGAGACCTGGGAGCCCTCGCTGCGGAGCATCAGCTTGCTCTGAAACGCCCGACTGGAGTAGTAGCTTGCTTCAAAATGATCGGCCGGAGAGCCTTTAATTCGCCAATATAGGCTGTTAAGGAGTTTTGTAAAATCTGCGAGCCCGGCGGAGGGCACCGCTGAGCCGTATGAGGGTCCGAGGAACGGCGAGAGCTGTAAGGGCGCTTGGGTGCCCACTATCACTTGAGGGAAGGCTTGGGTCTTGAGGGTCCCGATTCTCAAGGGCAGGGGATCAAGCAGCCGCTCTGTCCTCGGACCTCTACGTCGAATCAGATGTGACTTATAAACGGTGAGTAGAGATGTTGTGGACCGCGCCGGAGTGCAAGGGTCTGCCGCATTCTGCTGCAGTTGCGGACTTGCAGAATCTGCCGGCCCAGCCACGGGTACTGCAGAGTCTGCGGAGGGTCTGGTGAATGGGCCCGGGCACTTGGGTGCCCAAGAGCTAGCTACAGTCCTTGAAAACATTGAAAAGCACGCTGATCGGGAATCAAGGGTCCACTACGTTGCCTGACCTTCATATACTTTCTGTCGGCTTCTTCACTTTCGAAAGAAAGCGCAGATAATTCGCGGCCCGCGCCGGAGAGCGAGGGTCTGCTACAGTTGCAGACTCTGCCAGCCCAGCCACCGAGGGCATTGCAGAGTCAGCGGAGGGTCCGGGGAACGGGACTGGCGCTTGGGTGCCTCTAAGTCTTCTCTATATCTGTCTTGTCCAATCTTGATAGGCGCATTGTCAGCTCATTGATGATGACACCGCCCCCGGACCCTGACTTGGAAAGTCAAACTTGAGTTATAGCCATAGCTTAAGCCAAACTGTGTCCGTGCCGGAGAGCAGCGGTCCGGCGGCTCTGCAGCCAAGAGACGGAGGGTGCCTCAGAGAGCTGCGAGGGCGCTTGGGTGCCCATAGGCTTACTGCCTAGGGGGATCGTGACCTGCGTCGCAGCTACACTCGACGTCTCAATCGCGCAGTAATCTCGCTGGCACAGTCTTTCGCTGCAGATTATCCCGACGAAATGTGCGGGCAGGACCATGCTTTCTATAAGCTGCCGAGGGCAGAACCACCGGACATGATTTCATCTGCTGCGGCCAGGGAAAGGAGTGTTGAAGTGAAGGGGTCATTTGCTCTTATGATGTTTCGGTAGCTAGAAAGTGCCACAATAGCCTTCCTTATTGCATGGAGCCAGGGAACCGGGAAAGTCGAGTGAGCTCCACGCCATCCCGACTTGCATCGTACTTTTGCTGGAGAGCCATCAGCACCGCCAGAGCACGATGAGTGCAGATGAATGTGTTGCTGGCGCAGACTTAGTTTAAGGGCTTAGATAATTACCAACCCCAATACTGTCTGGGGACTCCTTATTCTAATTATAGTATACTTTACCCCAAAACCTTATTCTAATTATTCAGGCCCCTATAACCCCTACAGTAGTGAAAGCATGCCGAGAGTTCGGAGGCTCTGAGGTAAAACGCTCGCGCAGGCGTACTGAAAGCAAGCATGCTGCGGGTTCCGAGGCTCGGGAAGGACACTTGGGTGTCGTATCAAATCAAGTGCTGAAACGACTCCATATCTCCGTATCGCAAGCAGTATAGTTATAGCTATAGCACTATAACCTTGCTTACTGGGTCTCTGGGTTTTTTTGGAGTACGTAGTGCCCCGCGGAGCCCCGATGGCCTTGCCGGGAGATGCGCTTGGCTTTCGCCCAGAGACGTGCCGCCCTTGGCAGAGCTTGATCTTCCAAGAGTTTGGGTCTTCATACAAGTATAGTGCAGTCTTTCTAATAACTGCCGTCTATAGTCTAATGCGCCCAAAAGCCATGTGAAGCCCCTATTCTGGCTATGAAGGCCCCGGTAGTGGCCGTCTAGGGCTTCTGTCTGGGGCTCAAGAACCGATTCTTCAGTCTCCAGACTGTGAGGTTGCAGAAGATGGGGGTTGGACCCGTTTGCATAATCCCTCATCCAAGACATGCTCAGGCCGAGAGTTCAATTTTTAGCTTCGGTTTGCGGGCCGTGAAAGCTCTTGCTGTCCCTCGGAGTTGCGGCCGAAGAGCTCATAGGGGGTTCCGAGCAGTGGCACGGAGTCCACTTCGATGAGGACGGTTGTGTGTGGAAGCTGGATCTAGATGGGAGGCCCATCAGTGGCAGATTGGACGCACTCACCAATCTGACCAGCCTACAGGCTCTATACCTGTCAGACACCGGTGTGACTGGAGGCCTGCAGGCCTTGGCAGAGATGACCGAGCTGTGGCAGTTGTGGCTGGATGGTACAAAGGTGGCCGGTGACCTGCAGCCGCTCTTGAAGCTCACCAAGTTGGAGCAGCTATACCTCTCACAAACCGATGTCACTGGAAGCTTGCAGGTTTTGGCGGAGATGAGCGAGCTGCAGGAGTTGTTCCTGGATGGTACCAAGGTGGCCGGTGACCTGCAACCGCTCTTCAAGCTGACGAAGTTGGAGCAGCTCTTGCTCAAGAACACCGGTGTGACCGGAGGCCTGCAGGCCTTGGCAGAGATGACCGAGCTGCGGCAGTTGTGGCTGCAGGGTACAAAGGTCTCCGGTGACTTGCAACCGCTCTCCAAGCTGACGGAGTTGGAGGGGCTCTTTCTCGAGAACACCGGTGTGACTGGAAGCCTGCAGGCCTTGGCGGAGATGAGCGAGCTGCAGCACTTGCGGCTGGATGGTACCAAGGTGGCCGGTGACCTTCAACCGCTCTTCAATCTGAAGAAGTTGAAGGAGCTCCAGCTCGAGAACACCGTCGTGCAGGGGGATCTTGGAGAGCTCCTTCGTTTGACAAACCTAACGCAGGCCCCTGTAGCACTGTCAGCTTTTCCCCGGCCCCAGATTCGCATTTTTCACATGTCGGAGGCCGATCTGAGCGGCACGCGCGTGTCTGGGCGCCTGACGCCCGCCTGGCGGGGCCAACTCCTGCAGCTCCACACGCTCAGCCTCAAGGACCGGGCCTCAGAGCAAGGGCCTGTGCACCCGGTTTCTCCTTCTGCGGCTCGTCCCGACGAAGCTGAGGGCAGCCAAGTGAGCTTCCTGCCCGTCGGAAGTGACCTGGAAGACCTCCGGGCGACATTCGTCACCAAGAAGACCGGGCAGCTGCTTCCGGCCCTGGTGAACTTGGACGCCGCGTGGTTGCGCTTCAAGTAAAGCTCCGAGCGGATGCTGTTAGACGACTGAGAGCTGAAGGTGTCTTCAAACTGAACGTCTCTTGACATTTCTTGCATCCAAGGTGTCACTGTGTCCGCTGGACGGCGAAGTTCAGAACCTGCTTCAGCCCCTGTCCTTCGCAGAACACTTGGCCTCTGTCCGTGCCAATGGGGCGAACCTCTTCGGGCATCTACAGACGAGCTGCTTGCGCAACGTATCCGTGGATGGCGAGCTCTATGTTGAATATTGCACGACACCCTTGCGGAGCTCCTTGCAAGGCTTGGAGTTGGCGGACAACAAGATCCACCGCATCGAAGGCATCCCCGCCAACGTCTACGTCTCCTTGGCGAACAACTCGGAGACATACATGAACAT